CCTTTATTATCTTAGTTAATACTCTAATACCTACTCTATTAAGGAACCCTACCTTAGTTAGAACTACTTACAGCTCGGATTATAACACTTTAACTACCTCTTAATTAATATTAGATATCTAACGTAGGATCATCGCGACTTAGATCCCTATTACCTAGCGTACGTCCACTTATAGCCTTAAACAATTCTTTAAAGACTAATATCGTTTAAGATAGTAGTTCTAACGAAGACTTAGACGTAGATATAGTTAACGCACTAGGACTTACTAATATATCTCGGGATAGTGTTAAGGTAGAACTATTCTATAGGAATAGGGAGAAGCTAGGATACTTCCTTATACAACTTAAGACTACCTTTAAGCTTAATCTAACTAAGTATACTAGGGTAGAGGATAAGGTTATATTTATAGTAATACACCTAAAAGGGGTAGCGTTCTATTAGTTTAAACTAGTATAGGACGACTATCTCGAGTCCTCTAGCCCCGATGACGAAATTAAGGTATATTTTAGGAACTTTACGTAGTTCGAAGTAATAATTAAATAGATCTACGATATAGTTAATAAGGCTATAGTAGCCTTTCGTACTATTTATACCCTTAAATAAATAGGATCTATAGCTAATTATTATTCGGAATTTAAGAAACTAGTAAAGGAACTAGAGTATATAGACGATAATATCTTTAAGGATACGTTCTATAATAGATTGAAGAAGGAAGTTAGGAAGGAAATAATAGAGCGCCCGGAAACGTATAAAGATATAGTAGATAAAGCTATTAAACTTAATAATCGACTATACGAGCTACGTATAGAAGATAATTAAGGAAGGAGCTTAGGAAGACGAGGGTATCGGGAGTATCGGTATTCTCCTCGAACTAATACGGGACGCCCACGAGACTACGGAGACCCTATAGACCTAGACGCTATAGAACGTTATAATACCCGACGAATAGGCCTAGGTAGAGGCCGAAATATAGAGCGAAAGGTTATAGGAGGACGAGATCGAGAAAAGGAAAGATAAAGGAAGGAGAACCTATACTACGAATGTAGTAAGCCCGAATACTATATACGTAATTACCTAGAAAAGAAGAGCGCTCGAGGACTATATATAATAAATATATAGAGCGATGGTATAGATAGCTTAATAGCGAAAAAGGCCGATACTATTAAAGAGACCTAAAAATCTACCGAAGGTAAGAGTAAACTAGTATAGAAGGACTACTAGGAATCGGATAACTCCCGAGGGTTAGGTGAGTTAGATACTAAGTAATTAGAAGAAGAGTTCTAGTTAAAGTATTAGACTAAGAAGCCTAAGGGATCTAAGCGTAAGACTTAGAAGAAAGAAAAGTTCGACGAACTCCTAAAGGAAGAATAGTAGAGCGAAGTAATATATAATACGAGGAGAAATACCGTAAAATACGCTTAAGAATTATAGTATTTCTATTACGAGGATAACTACTAACTCTATTTAGCTTTAAAGACCGAAAAATAGTAGTTTCTACATAAGGATAGAGGGAGTATAAAACCCCGAAAATAGGAATAGAGGGTCTAGGAAACCCTAGCTATAATAATAGCCGACTTTAAAATAATACTTATAAATATAGATACTTATATAACGATTAGAACGAGGTTCTAGAAAGTAGTTAACGAAGTTATAGTATTAGATAGAAGAATAACGTAGAAAACGCTTAGGACGGCGTTAATCTATAAGTACCGGATTAGAGAATACTAGGAATATAGGTATACCTACGTATATACCGAAGAAGGGGAACCCTATTAACTAAGACTCTAGCGAGAAGAAGACGAATAGGCACTAATAGATAAGGTACTACGATAATATAAGAACTCTACGGAATTCTATATATATTTCTAGGATAGGAGGGAGGGAGAAACTCTATACCGATATAACCTAGGCGCTACTCCTAGAAGGAAATAAAAATATATATAGATCTAGAAATATAACGACTAGGAATACTCCCTATAAGCCGAATATACGTACGATACGTATAATGGGGAAGCTTACTTTATAACCTTTAAAAGACTCGGTAAAGGAGTAACCTACGCGGAAGGACGGCTAGCTTAGCTTAATTAAGGACTATTTAGTTTTAGGACGGTAACGCTACCACCGCCTTACTACAATATATCTATAATGGAAAAAGGACCCGCGGATAA